GCTCTCGCTGTATTAGTTGGGCGAGCATGCAAATGCTCCCGCGTCCTGGAAATGTCGTTCGACTCAAAGAATTACCCGTAAGGATTTACGCGTCGTCCAGCGCGCGGCGGGCGGAAAAGCAGTTTTGCATATATATATATATATATAATATATAGCACTTCGGCTGGTAACGCGCGCGCGTGCGCTGCGTAAATTCTCAGCGATGATCTTGTAAGAATCGCGAGCGATCCAACGTGGCGCTGAAAAATATGACTGAAAATTGCGAACACACTTGAACTGTGTGAGTGAGATTGAATTTTCGTCAATATCTCATCATCGTTGAAGTGGTGAAACAAGATTCCTTTGAGGGAAACGTCGTGTCTTTCCTCGTCGCGGCGTCGCGGTCTCTCGTCTTGACGTGAATTTTGCTCGTCGTTGAAGGAAAGAAACAGGGGGAAAACTGGCGAATCCTTGTCGACGCTCTCGAGAAGATCCTTACACCTTCGATTATTTCGAGCGCAGGCAGCTGCTACGATCACGGATTAAACGAACCGATTCCGCGTTTGTTCCTCGATCGTCCGTTCAATTCGGATTGGTGGCCGCGCGTCGCTGCATAATCCACGGAGTTACGTAGATCCGGGGCTTATCGCTCCCCAGGATTTCCATTCTGTCTCATTATTAATTTCCATGCGTTAAGCAGCCGGAGCGAGGATTAGTTGGGAGCGTCGTTATACGAGCTGTTGGAACTTCCTACCGCATTTGCGCCCGGCTCTATTGATTTCGGGAAATAATTGTTCTTCGCCGAGGGTGGCGCGCGCCGAATGAAAATTCTGATCGGATGAACTTTTAATGAAATCTCGTGCCAATTTCGAATCGGGGACATTTATCGAACGTTCCGCCTCCGTCCACCGATGAAGCGCCAAATCAACTTTGACTCGTTTTCTCCTTGTTGTGTTTTCTCTTCCTCTCTTTTTTTCTTTGGTTACACGCCGGACATATGCACGGAATGTAACGAGGGGAAATGAGAGAAGGGGCGGCTTGGCACTGTCACGCGAGAGCACATTTCTGTCCAATAAGAAATCTATCTCCGCGCCTTCACTCGTCTGAGCCATCTGAGATATCGCACGTTTGGATATCGACCTCGAAGCGACGATTACATAATCTATCTCTTCGTGAACTTATTTCGCTCCGGTTATCAGGAGGTGTTTTTGTTACACAACCGTGCCTAACGTTATCGGCGCAAATAATATGTTTCGACGTACGATTCCTTATCGGCGGCTCGCCAAGTCTCAGGACCGTTACAAATCTTACAATTTGTATGCGCGGGACGTCGTAATTCGCGAACCGTTGCGTCAGGACAAGAAGGTCGGGGTCAAAGAGTTCGCTGCGATTTCTGCGAACGTTTCTCAAAATGCAAACTTGGCCTGAGTCCTGGTCCTGTCGCGCACGATGTAACGAGCGTGTATACACAGGATGCTCGACTTTTCGCTTTTCGCTGCACACCATGGCATCGTCGTCGTCGTCGTCGTCGTCAAGGGAGCCGATTCGTCTCTCTTTCGTCAAAATGTACAAAACAGAATACACGAGCACGTGAATATTTTTTCCGCAGCTACTTTCGTCTTATTTCCAAAGTGCACCACTTAGCATTCTCGCGAATCCCGAGAGGCGCATTTACGAAAAATATAGTATTCGGCGAATAAACGGCACGGAGAAATTGACGTAGAGTCTTTTCTACTTAGAACGTACAGGATGTAACAGCAACATACAGGTCAGTACGACGGGTTGTCTGCCCTCATTTGGATGATAATGCAGAGGTTGCCGAAAAAGCCACTCGTTGATTTTGTCGATAACGATATTTGCAGTGCTGCCAGTTGTGATGAGTGCAATTTATTGTAATTTTGCACCCGAATCGTTTACGGTAGAAGCCAAGCCTCATTGAAAATTCTTCATTAAAGTCAGAAAAAGCGGCTTATGAGTCTTCTGCTTTGCTTATAAGCTGCAAAAACTTTGAAAAAAAATGCTGCTTTTTATGAAAGGGACATTAAAATACGAGATTATGCACCGAAAATATATCGCTTAACAGTTATCATTGATCAAGTTGCGATCAATAAATTATACTGCGTTCTCGGTCGATACATATTTTTGCAGAAACGACTTACTCCACAAACGATAGAATACAATATATAAAACCTCTAAATATTTCTGTACTATTTTTTTCTAATTTCCAATTTTTATCGAATTTCCCAATGCAGAGAAGAAATCCAGAAATTATACGAAACAAGAAAATATGTTGCGCTATTTACTTCCTTAACTATTGCTCTTATTTACTTTGCTTAAATTCGTAATGTCAATTTCTCAGTTCATTTCGCTTTTTTAAACATTTTCTTTTTTAATTTAATGAGACTCGGCTACTATTATATACTATTATAAACGATCATGGTGCAAAAATTACTTGCACTTATACATATATCGAGAAGATCAACGAGTGACTTTTTCGACAGCCTCTGTGTTATCACCCGAATGGGGGGGGGGGAGGCAACCTGCCGTACTGATCTATCTACGTTACACCCTGTACGTTCGATTTTGCTGCTCCTCTTTCCCCTCTCATGGATGGCTTGCTCTTGATCGAACGCAGCGTCACGCGCAAATTTTCGCATTTCCGTCTACGTGCGATGTTACGTGTGTGTGTGTGTGTGTGTGTGTGTGTATGCACAGCACTAATTATAACACCGACTGAAAGACTACATTACGCAAATACGGTAAAATATAGCGGTCTCACCGAACAACCGCGCAACCGTGCGCCGCGAACGAAGCAATAGATTTTATCTCGCGAGATTCCGTTTCAATTCCAAGGGATCTCCGGTGGCTCGAGTATCGTTGCTCGAATACACGTGTTCCCCGGAAATCTCGCTGATGGCGGATCTCGCTGATGTGCGGACGCTTACGCGTCTGGACGCCGCGTGTTTGCATAGCGGCACGTAAAATCTTCCATATGTAATTCATCGGCAGACTTTGTTTCTTAGCCGGTCGGCGGGAGTGAGTGTGCTTCCTAGAGTCGGCGAGAGCGTGATTGGAAACTCTTAATATTCCGACCTCCGGCCGCGACGTTAAAGCAGAGAGTCGCGCGCGGAAAAGGAAAAATATGACCGGGCGCGTCCAACTTGATCAGCGCGCGACGTCCGCGTGTTTTGCGGAACAACCGCGCGAAATCCTCCACCCGTGGAGGAAGGAAGCGCGCCTTGCAGCGGCGGCGGCGGCGGCGGCGGTGCGATGACATCGGTGATAAACGACGAGATCGGGTTGACACGTTACACGAGAGATGCGGCGGCCGAGAGATGGCGAACGAAATTAAAGAGCGATAGATGGATTCGCGCGGGGACGCGATCCGCGCGAGCACGCGAGAGAGCTGTCGTCGCGCGCGGCGGGACGGGGGGGGGGGAGGAGGAGGAGACGGGACGCACGGCGGAGAACAAGCCGGACAGAAACGAGAAAGTCAGCCCTGACTCCACTTGGCCGAGCGGACAAAATCGAATTGAATCCCCGGAGATACGAATCGCGTGCGCTTTCACGGGGACGAGACGTCGTCTCTTGGCCATTGTCGGTTTACACTCCCGAGCGCGCGCGCGCCGAGCATCTCCGAGCGTTTCCCTCGCATTCCCTCGCGACGTTTACGCGGCCGAATGTTCGATTCGGCCGACTCTGAGATTTAGACTCTGAGATGTCCGGCGAGAGGCTCGCGATCGCGCTGCGCCGCGCCGGCCGGCACGGACTGAGTCGTAAAATGCGGTCATCATACGCGGGCTCTTTGATCGACTTTTTCACGATACGACAAATCACGCGGCCGAGACAGGTAGAGATCAGCGAGAAAGAGAGAGAGAGAGAGAGAGAGAGAGAGAGAGAGAGAGAGAGAGCAGGAGGAGGAATTTCGTTCCTTATATGAAAGGAATTTTTCTTCGTTTCAGTAACTTACACACCACGTTGCTGCGAGAAACACGGCGGGCTTCGGCCAAGTTTTCATCGTGTATCTGTAATAAATCGCATTGTGCCGGTGAGGTGAGCTTTCTGCCGGCTAGAGCCTTCGTTCCTTAATTCCATCCGCCGCCACCGACGCGAGAACGATACGGGTTTCTCTGGATGCCTTCGTTCGAGCCGTAGAAGAGCGCCTCGTCAAAATCGGAGCGCGACTCGACTCTCGTCGACGTGCGTCTTTTGTATCGCCGATAAGGGCTTGCGAAAGCGGGACGGACGGCCGAGCAAGAAAGGAGGGGTCAGAAGAAGCGAAAGACGCAACGACGCGCGGAGGTGCGGGAGATGGGACTAAAGGGATGAAAGGGAACACCTGAGCTGATGGGCGAGCGAAGCAAGCCGCAGACACTGTGATACGCTATCGGCGGAAGGAGGACGGCGACATCCGGGACGCAAGCGCGAAAAGGACGAGGTGGTGCAACGCGGCGGTGTAGAGCGAAGAGAGAGGGAGGGAGGGAGAAAGAGAGGGAGAGAGAGAGGGGGAAGGGGGAGAGAGAGAGAGAGAGAGAGAGAGAGAGAGAGAGGCCGGAGAGAGAATCGGAAGAAGATCGGGTCGAAGAGAGCGACGCGCTCGGCTCCGAACACTACCGTGAAGGAGACGGAGATGTGGAGCAGGTACACGAGGAAAGACAGGAGAGCGCGCGATACGGGATGAAGCGAACGAGCGGGAGAAACGAGCGAGTCGAGTAGGGTCGAGTGAGAAGTCGCGAACGGTGAGCCGAGAGAGCAACACAGAGCGAGAGAGAGAGAGAGAACGAGAGAGAGAGAGAGAGAGAGAGAGAGAGAGAGAGAGAGAGAGAGAGAGACCTTTCCCGAGGTAGAGAGACCTACATATTCCGCGAGGCCAATGAGATTGCGCAATGTGGCGGCACGGATGCTCTGTCCTCTTCTGGTACTCACTGGTCCGCTCTCCGTTCCAACCACGCCGCTGCCGCCGCCGCCGCCGCCGCCGCACGGAGGCGGCGGGGGCAGGCGGCGGCCCGAAGGCGGCTCGCCGGCGTAGAACGCAGCGAGGACTCAGTTGCTCACGAGCACCCGCCGACCGATGAACATGGCTCCCTACACGTCGAAGAGCGCGAGTGCCGTGCTGGCGATGTGCCGTAACGCGCTTCTTCTCCTCATGGTCGCGGTCGTGGCTCTCGGCAGCGCGGACCACGCCGACAACGGCCTCAAAGTGGAGAAGCTCTACGTTCCTGAGGTATGCGACGCCAGGTCGAAGAAGGGCGACCAGCTGACTATGCACTATACCGGCACGCTGCAGGATGGGAGCAAGTTCGACTCAAGGTCAGTGGTACCTCGCGCTAAAAGGATACAGAGTTCCGATGCGTTGCGCGAGACTACGCAAGGCCGCGATTCAGTCCCCCCCCCCCCCCTTGCCGCTCTCGCTGAGGTAGATGGGTGACACGTTGCGCAGAGGAAGTGCGAGGTGATGCCGACGCGTTTCCATTGTCCACGTCGCGCGAACGAGAAGCGCGCGTTTAGTAACGAAGGCCTGCCGGCTGCACGCGGAATTAGTGAGTAGCGTGTATGTGCTTGGGAAATATGACGACGATGATATCACTCGTCGCCGACAAGAACTAGGCTAATGTCGCCGACGACAATTGCGATAAGCTCGCTTGCTGTCGTCGCTACATCCCGCGTGTGTGACGTCCTCCCCCACATCTCCCGGCACTTTCCCGGCCGCGAGAAATCATCCGCGGGGCTTGTCGGTTCCGAACAGAACGAGATTTGATTAGCGTGGCAGCTCGGAGGCAGGAAAAGAGTCGGGTTGCAGGCAGCAGCATGACAAGAGAGAGGAAAAAAGAAAATTGCTATCATAAATTACTGGAAAGAGAAACAGACTGACGCGCACTCTCTCTCTCTCTCTCTCTCTCTCTCTCTCTCTCTCTCTCTCTCTCTTCCTCTCGCGCGCGCGCGCGCGCGCGCGACTTGAAATTATAATAAATTTATTTAGTAGCGCTCTCTCTGATGAAAAATACAATTTTCTATCTGGCTCTCGGTCGACGAGACGATACAGGAATTTCGTGTTGGTCGAGTGGTTTTGTGGTAGCGTCTCTCTGGTAGGAAAAAGTCGTGGCTCGGTCGCGTGCGAGGAAGTGAACAAAGAAATTCTCGATAGAACGGATAAAACGGTATGATGTCATATATCGATAATGGAAGTAGGCTAACATCTTTAACAGCTCTAACAGCAAGCTCCACCGCGTGGGTACAACACACCGCCGAATATTTTTTATTACTTTTTCAATCTGACCGCTCTTCCTTGCGAAAAGTCACTCGGAGTAGATTTCACCTCGACGCTCGATTATGTAAAGTAGCGTTTGCGAGAGAAATTTCAGCAGTCGTCGTATCGCTGGGATTGAGTTAAAACGGTAACGGAAAAAAAAGAAAAAAAAAAAGGTAAATTCCACGCAAAGGGCAAATATTTTAAAAACTGTTGGAAATTGGGGCTACGGAGCCTCTCAAAAATGTTAAACACATGTAAATGTTAATAACTCGCGTAGGTCATTTCAGTTTTAATTATGGCGGCATGATTTAAAAAACATGAACGCGCCCGAGATGGCTCAAAATGAATCGTGCGCGCTCGAAATTAAACCGAGAAGAGAGCGTTCTCGATCAGAAAAAGTGCGACGGAACCCACGTTGCCGCGTATTCACCGATGACGTCAACGAAGCAAAGCGAAGGAGAACGGGGAAAAAAGAGGGGGGGAGAGAGAGAGAGAGAGAGAGAGCGAGGGCAGAGGGGAAAAAAGAGACAGAAGTAGAGAGAGAAGAGGAGGGAGACAGCGCGAGCAGTATCTCCGAGTTGAGATTTCCAACGTGGACGTGCGTTATTGGAGGACAGGACGATGACGAGTGTACCCCGTTCCGGTGGGACTCTCGCCGCTCGAAAGTAACTCCTTAACATATAATGGGCAGAGCCGGTAGGCCGGTCCCAGCAACTACCTGGAAGTTCTTGCTTTCGTATATGACGTGGAAACGCATGACCGACATAACAACCGTTGCGGATTAACGCTCTCGCGGGCCGCAGCAAGCGGATCGAAGTGCAAATAGTCGAAGGCACAGCGTTCCTTATGTTTGCCGGTCGCGAACAAAGGCTCGCCGCGTGGTCTTATCAGGGCGAGATGATTCGAAACGCGGAAGCGTGCGTATTTGAGGGGAAAGAAAAAAGAAATACGCACCTCTCTCTTGGGAGAGAATTATAAGATACCAGCGGCAAGAGAGTTGGAATTTTTCTCCTCTAAATCAACATATGAATTGGCGACATTGAACTTTCTTTTTCCCTCGCACGAGCGTCAACTTTCTCTCTTTTTTCTCTCTCTCTCTCTCTCTCTCTCTCTCTCTCTCTCTCTCTCTCTCTTCGTTACGAGTCCCAAGGAATTCGCGAGAATCGACGCGTCCATTTGGTTAGAAAGTAATTCGTCAACATTCGGCGCGCGATAACTCTCACCGAGGATCCGTCTCCGGGACTTTCTTCAGGCGCACGTCGATTGTGCTCCAAATCGGATTTGGCACGGTACCTGCTTACGTTTGGTACGAGATACGCCCCGCGGGCTCCTTTGCGCGATTAACTGCTCGTACCTCTCGGAGTGACAGTTCACTCCGGACTTATCGATCGGCAGGCCGGATCGCCTGCCGCGATAAAAATCCGCTGTTGCTCCTAGAAGCGTCGGCGCGGATAAATAAGAGATGGAGTCGAAGCGAGAGCTTTCTGACCTCTTTTTTTTTTTTTTTTTCACCGCGCTCTGGACTTTCCTTCTTATAAATAAATCTGCCTTACGCCACGAGTATTATTTAACGCACCGCGCTTCTGTGAAGTACAACATTCAGAAGCTCTCTGTGACGTTGTCGCGCAAACAGAATACCTATTTACACTCGCGGCGCGATAAGAATATACCGAATGAGAGGAAATTAATCTCACGCAATTATCACCGCTTGCGTAATATAATTAGCGCAGCCGCGACACACATTCCGCGCGGTCAACTGAGGGGACACATCGCGACGGGACGTTCCTATTTGTCGTGGCTTTCGCAAGCGGATGCCCATCGGTCGATTAGATATGCAATCTACCCTTCGCGATAAGAGTTCACAGGCCAGCTCGCTTTCGACACGAATTCGCTGTTATCGACAGGCCAATCGCTTCGAGCGATAATCGAGGCAAGGCTTGGCGCTCGCAATTAACGACGTGCTGCAGCGAGCCGACGTTGCTGTTGAAATTATTTGGACGAATCCGAGGAGGACCGATGCTGTTTTGCGTAACTTCGCTTCTCGTAACGCTCTGCAGACGTGCGGTCTCGCTCGCGATCGACCGCGGCTCTTCAGTGGCGTTTAAAACCGGCGACGCCTTGCGATCGCTTTATTAACTGATCGAGCCCACTCATGCGTAAAACAGCTAATGGCGCGTGCTAACGACTCATAGTCCGAGATATGGTATTAACGAAGCACAGCGATGCGTAACAATGCAACGAATAATGCGCGAGTGGATTGACGCCTCGTTCGTTGACGCGCGTCGCGTTGTGTGTTCTCCTCTTTCTCTCTCTCTCTCTCTTTCTCTCTCTCTCTCTCTCTCTCTCTCTCTCTCTCTCTCTCTCTCTCTCGTTTTCAGTTTCTCCCTCCTCCTCCTGTCTCTCTGTGTGTCGGGAGTCTGCGCGAGAGTGAATACTCTTTCCGCTGGAGAATATTGTAATTATATCGCGACACTTCCGCGGGATATTCCCGAGGACACGGGCGATTAATATCTCGCGGTTTGCATCGGGTTTCCACGTTTCCAACCGTCACCGTGACATTTTACGCCGAAAGATAATGCGACGAGAACGCATGTGTGTTATTATAATCGTGTCTCAATTCACGATGTTTAATATGCCATAATACCGCTGGTTTCGAACGACGCGAACCGTTGCAGCGGCAACGCGACCGTAATATCGTGTCGCATATGTTGACAGGATCCACCGGCGATCCTGCGGCAAGTCCTCGTTAATGAAACTCTCCGGATGTCGTCGTGACCCGATAAATTCAACAGCGCGCCCCGTACGTCGTCGATTCCAAGACTTCGCGATCCGAGGATCCACACACATACACACACACACACACACTCTCTCCGTCGTTTCTCGGTCGCAAACTATCGCGATATTTTTACGGCGCGCGCGCTATGTCGGGCGGACGCTATTATTCATTTTCTCGTCGGGGGAAATTAACCTTTCGCGTATTTAATGCCAATTAAGTGCCGCCAGATCGACGGAGATCGGCGACGCCACAGATGAGCGATAATAGATGGGCCGGGCTGACCTCTTTGCAGCGTCGAAATTATTTCGCGGCCCGTTATGGGTACCGTTAATCGTGCACCGGCTACCTCATACCTGGGAAACTTTTACCGTCGTGCGGGCGCGCGCGTGCGACGGAGGGAGTGAGAGGGGATGAAGGAGAGGAGAAGGGAGACAAAGCGAAATTAAAAAAAGACTCCCTTTCGTTTCATTAATTTTCCAATCCAGCATTAAAATCGCCCATTATTTCATCGGGACAAAATTTTTATTACATACATTTCCTCTCAGCGCGTATCTCTCTCTCTCTCTCTCTCTCTCTCTCTCTCTCTGCCTTAATTAATCGTAATTTCATCGCGGTCTGTATTATCGCCGATCAATGCCGGGGAACGAGTGAGCACAGCGGGCGTTAAAGGAGGAAAAAGAGATCGGTGGTCGGCAGGTAGCTTTTATATCACGATCGATTTCGGGGCGACGGGAGTCGTATTGCGCGCGTGGCAGCGAGATGCCGAATCGGGTACCGCGTTAAGCGCGCCGGTCTATCGAGAATTACCTCCGTTTACCGGCGCGGCCCGTGTCGATTCGACTGTTTCTTGTCGAGGAGCATCGCAATCACCTGTTTATCGCGCCGCATTCCGTCCGATCCCATTATCCTTTCCCACTCGACGCGGCGCGGCGCGGCGGCCGCCGACGCCACGGGCGAAAATGTTGACTCCATTTGGCACGAGTCTGACTCTCGGCCCCTGAGGCCCCGGATTCCGCGATGCCGTTGGAGTTTTCCCCCCTCCGGCGCCCCTCTCGGATACACTGCCACCGCGGACAAACCAACTGAGTCCTCCGCCCGAGTGAGTTTTTGCAATCCGAATGTCCCGACGAGACTTTAATGCACTTTCGCGACGTTTCCACGCGAATTCCGCCTATCCCCGTCCCCTTCCGTCCCCCTCCGCCGGTCTCTCATCGGAGACACCTTTTCTCCGCGATGCGCGCGTGGTGTGTGTCCTCGAAGGATCCTCGCGTGGATCGAAGGGGATTTTCATGAATCGCGCTCGGCCGCGAATCGACGAGAGAGAGAGAGAGAGAGAGAGAGAGAGAGAACGATAACGAGCGACGTTAAAGCTGAGAGAATCCACGTGTGGGTTCAGAAGAGTCAACTCGTCGCGCGC